AGTCTTTATGTATTTTTTAAAAAAGGCCTCTGGCTGGCGATTTAGCTCAGTGGTAGAGCGCTTGCCTAGCAAACGCAAGGCCCTGGGTTCGGTCCTCAGCTCTGGAAAAAAAAAAAAATTAAAAAAAAAAAAAAGCTTCCTTGTGTAAGTCTGGGCTGTCTTTCCTCCTTCACTCATCATTGATTTTTCTGTAATGACTATGGTTCAGTACTGAACAAGGAAATTAAACTGTGATGGATAGAAAATTAAACTTAAAAAAAAAAAAAAAAAAAAGCCAACTGACTAAGTTAGCTTGGTATAGGAATACCATATTTCCCATAACTCAAACTGGCAAATTACTACAGTTTAAATGGAGATCACACACACTGGATGCAAGCACAAACTACTACACTGTTTAAATGGAGATCACACACACTGGATGCAAGCGCAAAAATGCAAAAGGGAACAATTATATTTGCCTCCTCATAATTTTTTTAAAATTTATTTTTATTTTATGTAAGTGTTCTGCCCGCATGTATATGTGTGCACTGTGTGTGCACCTGGTGCCTGAAGAAGAGGTCAGAAAAGAATATTGGATCTCTGGAATTGGGAGTTACAGACGATTGTGAGCTGACACACGGGTGCTGGGAACCAAACCAGGTCCTTGACAAGCAAGTTCTCTTAACCACCAAGCCATCTCTCCAGCTCCCCCTCATACCTCTAAAACTCTTTTCAGAGGATTGAGACAAGGTAAAGTTCATTTTGTTTTCTGAGGTAGGGCTTGCTGTGCTTCCCTGGCTAGTCAGGAACTTGCTGTGTAGACAAGGCTGCCTTCAAACTCATAGCAGCCCCTGCTCCCAGGTGCTAGGGTCACTTTCACCAGTCTGGTGAAAGTTCTGGATACCAGCAACATGTAAGTGCATGGATTGTTCTATAAATCAACGCCCACTCAGCTTACTTACCTTCCACGTCGCAGACTTTATGTTCATTGTTCTCCCCCGGCTAGTTAGGGTACATTTCATTCTGAGAAAAAAGCTTCGTTGGGTGTTTTGTTCTTTACCTTTTTTCACTGGGCCTAATGAAAGCAAGAGACAAAGTTGTAAGTCATAGCTAAACACAGAAATTTGTTACACTAAGGGTAGCAAGGTGACAACCTCAGCATTAACACAACATTTGCTCCCTTTTCACCCACTTCAACACATCCATTAGGTCTGACAGCCCCACCCTGGGCAGTGTTTAGAAGAAGACCACAGCGAGTCCTTGAAGTGCAGGAGGAGAGCCTACACTCTCCATGAATACATGACTGTTATTCATCTGTGCTGGTGTAAAGAAAATATGAAAATGGTGTGCGTTTGCCCTAAGTGTGCTGTCAGTAGACAGATATGTCCCCCTCCCTCGCAAAAAAGAACTTGAATAAATACTTCATGTCCTTTACCAAATTTGATAATTCAATTTTGAATAAGCAGCAATATACTTACAGAATTTAAAAAATATCAACTTACCTTTTGGTAGACAGAATGTTTTATAGTTAGAGAAATGCCATGGTAGAGGTTGGAGAGTTCTAGGCCAAACTGAGCTACACAGTGAGGCCTTGTTTAAATTTAAAGTTACAGAAATAGGGATTGGCAATGTTGCTCAATGGAAGAACACTTCCTTAGCACATACACTGAAGCCCTGGGTTTGATTCCCCAGTACCACGAAAAGAAAAGTCACAGAAATAAAGCAGGGATAAATCAATTCAAGTCTCTGTAACCTTATGCCAAACCTTGTAACTAAAAACTGAGATTACATTCAGATGACCGTGGAATAGATGATTTCCTATTTTTATTGCTTAGTCTGGTTCAAAACAAATGTTTCATTTATATGAAATCCCAGAAAATGTGGATTAGAGGTTTGCTCAGGACTGAGTAAGAGGTATAAGGAGATGGATGATATAAAGGTATAGAACTTCTTAGTCTACAGGGAGTCCTAGGCCAGCCCGGCCTATATAGTGAAACCCTGTCTTAATACACATAAACAAAATAAAAACAAGTATTTTTTTTCTAAAATTAAAGGTATGGTGGTGGTTGGCCTATGTCTATGAATATATTAAAAATCATTGAAATCTATCAAATTTAGGGTACATAAAACTAAGTTCTTAGAAAAAAAGCAAACACAAAATACTCATTATTCAGGATCTAATGTGTATACTGTGAGTAATGCAAAGATGAATAATTTTAATTATTCATTAAGTAAATGATTATTAATGCCTTTAAGCATGCAATAGATACAGTAGGGTCAATTGCAATACAATGTAAAGTAGTCAAGGCTTAATAAGAATGCTTTCAAAGAGAAAAGACTAGATCCTGCCAGAGGGAATCAGAAAAAGGACAAGTATACTGTGTAAGAAGACACAAGTGTGTAAAACTTCAACTTCTGCCTCTGTAATCCAACAAGTACTTCACAAAACTCTCAAGTGTTCCAGGCCTCTCTTACTACTTTTGTTAATATGCAAGCATCCATAACGTAATACTTGTGTTTTTGAGACAGGTCTCACTCTGTAGCCTTGGATGGTTTGAAACTAGCTACATAAACCAGGTTGACCTAGAACTCAAAAGATCTGCCTGTATCTACTTGCCAAGTGCTAGAATTAAAGGTGAGCACCACCACATGTGGGCCTTCCAACTAGTCTTAAAAGTCCTGGTCAACTCCTCCCATCCCCTTTTGGACACTGAGAAAGCCTGAACCCAAATTGCCTTTGTGTTTTCAATAATTGTCTAAAATCCTATTATCTGTCATTTGTATTATAACTTCTTGTCTTAATACTGTATTTTCATTTATAACTGTCTTGGTCTTGGTTTTTTATTTATTTTTCCATCTTGTCTACTCTTGTGTGTAATTACCTATTAATTCAATGAGTTTTAAAACTTTTTTTGTTAGTTTTCTAAAATGTAGAATAACAGTTTTAACAAAGAGCAGTATTAACATTAAATGTAAAATAACATTCTTTCTTAAATCAGTTCATTACCAAAAAGATAAAATTAGTCTGACTGAAAAATCACCTGTCATATTAAATCAAACAATAGGTTTTTCTTCTCACCATTTCTGTGTGTAAGCATTTCTCTCATTTCCTCATGGTCACATGGATGAGTAAAATCAAACACACTGTGTCCAGTTAGTTCAAACTGTAAACACATTAAAAACAATTAGATCTACATCATATAATCAAAGTACCCAGAAGGGCTCTTCATATTCAAGAACTTTACCTGAGTTAACCCCATGTATTTGTTGACGTTATCAGAAATGTAAATCATGTCACCATCGTCTGTGAGCACCATAACAAAGCCATCCAGGGCTTTCAAATAGAAGCAGTTCATCTGTGCTTTCATTTCATCTTCAATGTCCAGATCACCTACAAGGGCACAAGAGGGAAGAAACAAAATAAGGCTCTATCTCAGGTACTTTTAAATATCTACAGTACATATATTTATTTCTGTATATTTTCATGAGATTTTTTTCCAGTTGTTTTACATAACCGTTTAAAATAAATTTGCAAACAGGCAAATCCCTGGGGGGAAAAAAGATCGTATTTTAAAAAGAAGACAGGTATGGCTTTATACACAGCACTAAGAAGGAAGAGGCAGGTGGAACTCTGAGTTCAAGGCAGCCTGGTTTACATAGCAAGATACAGACCAATCAGGGTTATAAGGTGTCACCTTGTCTTAAAAAAAAAAGGTGGGGTGATGGGGGTGGTGGTGGAGGGGCAATAGGTACGACAGGAGGAAATGGAGGGAAAATGTCACTATCTTGAAAATGTCTGAATGAAGCTTTAAAAGGATGCTGTCATGTGGAAGAATGGAGAATATGTTCTAGAGGATGGAACGGTGACAACTTTATTGGATTATAATATCTATTCACTGGTGATGCTAATGTACCAGGAGCTATCGAGTTATATTTGCAGGTTTAAAAATAAAGGGCAAACAAAAACAACTTACAGTACAAAAAGGACTATTCCCATAGGTAACTAAGAAAACCAAAGCTTCACTAAAGGAGGAAAAAATAGTGAAAAGAGTTAAAGTATACACATCACAGCATAATTAGGTATTTTTAAAAAGTATTGTGTGGGGGCCATGCTGGAGAGATGGCTCATCAGTTAAGAGCACTGGCTGATCTTTCAGATTAGCTGGATTCAATTCACAGCACTCACAGCTGTCTGTAACTCCAGTTCCGAGGAATCTGACATCCTCTTCTGGTCTCTGCAGGCACTAGGCATGCAAATGTTGAAGAAAAAACACCCACATATATTTATATATAATATATATACATATTGTGAGGCCACAGAAATGACTCCAGTTAAGAATGCTTGCTGCTCAATCAACAGGACCGTATTTTGGACTCCAGCACCCACAACATAAATACTTGGCTCATAAATACCTGTAATTCCCGCTCCAAGGGGTCTGACACCCTCTCTAGCCTCCAATGGCACCTTCATGAACGTATTAACATGCGCACACATGTGCGTGAGTATGCATGCACACACATATACACAATAACTCTCTTAAAAGAAAGCATTGTGGCTACCTGCTAAAAGTAATTTCTAGATGCTTTTAACTTCTAATTTTTTGGTCTATTGTGTTCTTGTAGAACTCACCAGCATCCAGAAGTTTCCTCACACGTAAGTAACTGATGGTGAGCCTCATAACAGAAGCTTTATCAAGATGTGAGCTCACATTGTGAGGAAGTGGCAGCTGATGAGCAAGCTCATAAAAAACTTCGGACTCTTTGCTTCGCCGAGATCTTGCTGCATCTCTAGACTTTTCTTTTCGACGTTCAGAACTCATCCTACTTAACAGAAAAAAGAAAAATAGGAAGAAAAGAGACAAGAATGCATGTTAGTTTGTTTAAACTTGAATAAAACTAATTTTGCATTTTCCTGTGTACTGTATAAGGATTAGAAGAAGGCATGTAATTATATAAGACTTGTGTGGGAGATGAACAAAATTTTATAAGATAGCTATACAAATTTTGGATCACTGAAAACATAATAAATTCTGTTAAGATGTCCAAGCTTTAACCATTTCCAAAGCAGATGCTTTCATCCCCAAATTACAGTAGTCTGTATATCTAATGCCTCACAGTCATTCCAGAGTATTCTCAGCATAGAGAAACCCTAAGTAAGTTTAAAGAAACTAAAGTTGTACATAATAATTTGAAAACAGGTAGTAATTTTATGGGCAGTTTAAGATATTAATAGCTACCTATAATTTGATTAGTCTCTTTTGACATCAATACTTTCCCACATACTCTCTAACCATGGGATTTTTATATTAGCAGCTATAGCAAGCTACCACTTTCAGGTTGCTTATTTCCTTAATAACGGATACCAAAGAAATGCAGGAATGTGGAAGAAATAATGATGCATCATAATACCAACCCATGGGGATGCTAGTAAAGGTAATAGAAGCATCAATACAATGAATGATACACGTTGAGGAATCTTCCAAAAACAATTTTGTGTTGTGGAATATTAACTAGGCAAATAAATGTTACATTTGTTTATGCTGTGGAATATTACTTTAACTATGTGAAGGCATGTCACATTTATATTAACTCCATGTCATGAATTGTGAGTTGGCTGGTGGCTCAAAAAACAAAACAAAAAAACCCTGGTCCAATTTGTTTAAGTCATATCAAGCAGAGCTGTCTTCCTTTGCTTACCTGCCTAGCAACATGCTCTTCTTACTTGAATTGAATGTCAGGCTAAACCTGGCTCTGTTCTTAGCTGCTCCGGTAAGCCTGCCACTATCAAATATTAATCTAAATGAGGTGCTCAGTTATCTCATAACAACCTATAAATAGATTAAGCAGTACTCCCATTTTATGAAAAGAAACTGGGCTCCGTAGATTAAAAGCAGCAACTGTGTAGCAAGTAGGCACATACCAAGATAAATTTGTTTTTACTCTTCCACAGTCTTCTCTACTAATGGAGAATGCTGCTTCTATTTTACTCCTAAGCTCCAATCTTATTAGATCAGTGATTTGCTAACTGGTGAAAGCAGCTCTTGGAATGTACTAAACATACAGCAATATAACAGGGACTTTTTACTCAGTTCTCGTACTTTGTAAAGGAAGCACATAATCGCTTCTTCAAGTCTCATTTGAATGTAAGGCTGAAAGCTACATGCATAGAAACCACATTCTTAAATAATTGTCAAGAGTTCTCAGCAACTCTCGTTAAGAGTTCTCAGCAACTCTCTTGTTATACACAGTTTTCAAAGTCTAATAAAGAATGCATATATTTGTTAGATACTAAACTGTGATACAAAAATTTCAATTCAAACATTTAGTGGATGTATCCAACTTTTTGACATCAGGACACAACACTGTCATGAACTGTGCAACTGAGCTACAAAAAAGTTTCAATAAAACCTCATAACTTACATTTTATGTAAGTTTACAATTACTTGTGTTAGCCACACTCATACATATTGTGGGGCACATGTGGTCTGCAGGCCACTGGCTGGACACATCTGATTCTAGAGCAATTTGACTCAAGAACCTTAAGATTGTAAGTAGGACTTTTAAGAAACATTGTCGCCAGGCGGTGGTGGCACACGCCTTTAATCCTAGCACTTGGGAGGCAGAGCCAGGAGGATCTCTGTGAGTTCGAGGCAAGCCTGGGCTACCAAGTGAGTTCCAGGAAAGGTGCAAAGCTACACAGAGAAACCCTGTCTCGAAAAAAAAAACAAAACAAAAAAAAAAACATTATCACAATTAGAGGGTAGTTATGATTAAAATACATTGCATATAGGTACAAAATTCTGAAAGAATAAAAATACTGTATAAAGGAAACATCACTTGGAGCTACTTATCTAAATGAATCAGTATATTCTTTTTTAAAAAAATTATAAGATTTATTTATTTATTTATTAATTATATATACAGCATGTATGACTACAGGCCAGAAGAGGGCACCAGATCTCATTACAGATGGTTGTGAGCCACCATGTGGTTGCTGGAAATTGAACTCAGGACCTCTAGAACAGCAGTCAGTGCTCTTAACCTCTGAGCCATCTCTCCAGCCCGAATCAGTATATTCTTAATACTCTACAATAAAAAAAATCTATCAAGACCACATGAGTACCACAATGTCAACAGTTTGAAAACTTTTAAGTGCATTAAAAGTGCTTTGTTTTCCCTTTGCATTTTGAAATAAAATGTGTAATCAAATAGTTTTTGAAACTCATTTCATTGATACAATACTTGGGCTGGAGTAAGGGAGACAGCAGAGATCCACTGGGTTATAATGGACACCCACAAATGCTGTTTACACACACACACACACACACCTACACACCTTTTTCAGGGTTTCACTGTATATCCCTGGCTGGCTTGGAACTTGCTATGTAGTCCAGGCTGACCTCAAACTCACAAAGATCCATTTGCCTCTGATCCCCAGCTTTGGGATTAAAGACACGTGCCATCACGACTGGCACATTTTTCCTCTTTTAAATTCATGTGCAGTGGTGGCTGTGGGAAGCAGCACTCTATCTGAATGACCAGCAATCAAACTAAATATTAAATCAGCCTGGGCGTAGAGAACCTTATAAGCAACTTGAAATACTCAACTACTCTCCCTTTTCTAACCCACTTAACCAATCTAAACTACTGAAAAACAGCCACTCAAATGAAACCCTTGAGGGAAAACGTGAAAAAAGCTCCAGGGCTTTAGAATCTGAACTGCCTTCTTTCTTATCTACTCCCAGGAAGGCTCTGTATCAGTCATCTACAGCAGAACTGCAGAATTCACAAAGAACATGAGCAGACTTGCAGCAAAGTACTGTTTCCTGCAAATTACCAATTCCATTTATGGTGTTTTTAAGTACAGATCAAGTGACATTCTGCCTCTTCGATGTCTACATGAAGTGGTATTTCAGCCAAGTATATAAAGTTCTGTCTTTTGAATAATTTGCTTAACAGTTTCCACAACTATTCTACATATAATATATAAACTAGTAAAATAGCTAAATCTTTGTAGCATTATGGGTTCTGCTTAAAAAAAATAAGAGCACTGGATATAAAACTAATAATCTTAAAATTATTTTGTTTACATACAAAGTTTGTGAGTAATTTGTTGTATTATGATGAGACTCTGTAACACAAAAGAAGTACAGATGTTGAGACATTTGTTGGCTTCCTGACTACAAGGGAATGTGACTTTGAGAGCTGAACTTCAGTCCCTGGGTTAGGAGTGCTGCTGCTGTTGCTGATGACTAGAGCTCTGGTCCCAGCACCTATGGCAGACAAGGTCACAACTGCCTGTAACTAGCTCCACAGGAATCCAACCCTCTCCTAGCTGCCATAGGCACTTACACACCCACACCCACACCCACACGGGAGGGGGGACGACAACAAGAGAGTGCTTACCAAGGTTACAAAGTTAATAGTAGGATCTGTATTCCAGCTTAAACAGGCAGGCTGAGAATCCACATTATTAATAATCACGAAGACATATTCATAATCTAGGCTATTATTACAAAGTTTAAACTCTGTTGACTTAAAACATCTAAATGCATAAAGAAGTTACAGGGTTAACTTTGGAATGTAGGACCGAACACTAAGCTATTCAGAGGGATTCCTTATCAGACTCGTAAATCCAAAAGCCTAATTTGAAAAGCACCTATTCTGATGGCAATCACCTGCTCACCACTGGGCACTGGCCAACTTCTATGAAGAGATAAGTCTACCCATGTATTCCCACATGTTGATATCTGCACAGAGCCACTAAATAAACATCTTATTTTACTATTATTTGTTTTTTCATTTGCTCAACATCAGTCTGTTACAGCAACTTCCTTATTTTGTTTGCACTAATTTTTACAGAGTTCTTTACTATATAAAGCTAAAGAATAAAGGCTGAGATAAGCTGAGATTTTATTTTTCTTCCCACCCCTTTTTTAAACCACAAAGCAGTTCAGGCCTCCTTAAGATAATGAACACAATATAATTAAAAATACATTCTCAAATGAAGTGTATCCTGAGACTGTTTTTTTAAATTTTTTTATTAAGAAATTTTCTATTCACTTTATATACCAACCACAGATCCCCCCTCTTCCCTCCACCCCCTGCCTTTCCCCCCAACCCACCCTCATCTCCACATTTTCAAATCAAGGTCTCCCATGGGGAGTCAGCAGAGCCTGGCACACTCAGCTGAGGCAGGTCCAAGGCCCTTCCCCTGCACCAAGGTTGTGCAAGGTGTCCCACCCTAGGCACTGGGCTCCAAAAAGCCCACCCATGCACCAGGGATGGATCCTGATCCCCCTGCCTGGGGACCCCCCAAACAATTTGAGCTAAACAACTGTCTCCTGTATCCAGAGGGCCTAGTCCAGTTCTATGGGGACTACAAAGCTATTAGTCCACAGTTCATGGGTTTCTGAGACTGGTTTTTAAGCAAGAAGGGGTCTGCTGTTTTCACAGTGAAAAAAGGTTTTAATGCCATTATTTTCATACAAGGGGAGAGTTTACCAAGTTTTGGTTTATATTTTACAACACATTTAAGGGGATTAAAAAAATAATCACTGGGACTAGAAAGCTGGCTCAGAGAGAGCATTAAGATGGTTAAGAGAGCATACTGCTCTTGCAGAGGACCTGAGTTTGGTTGTCAGCACCCTTATCAGGCAGCTCACAACATCTGTAACTAGTACAGGAGATCCAATGTCCTCTGTAAGCACTTGCATTTACATATACATACTCTCCCATACTTAAAAATTAAAATGGAATTTAAAAATTATTTTATGTGTATGGGTGCATGTCTGCGCACCATCTGCATGCTGTACCCCACCCCCAGTGGCCAGAATAGGGGTTGAATTCTCAGGATCTGGATGGTTGTTAAGCCTCCATATGTATACTGGGAACCAAACCTGGATCCTCTACAAAATTGGCAAGTGCTCCTAACCGCCAGGCCATCTCACCAACCTCAAATTAAAAATAAATCGCTAAAAAATTTGAAAAAATAAAAAACCCTATAACACAATCACTACTTGATATAACACCTCACAATCCTATATGAAATTTAGTCTAGACTAAATTTGTGTTGCTGTTTGCACAGGACTGTTTACTTAGAGTTTTGGATGATCCAGGAAGCACTCAATTTGGCACAGTGTAACATTAAGACAAACTTATTTCTTGCATACAGTTCTCGACAACTTACAATCTGCTCAGCTATTTTAACTTACTTTAATGGACTTTAGTTCTATTATATACATTCCCATATTTTAGAAATATTAACCGTTTGTTGTATTAGAAGTTAATTTTTCCAGAACCCATTTCCTCTCATCTGTTTATTTTTCTCTACTTAGGTAGTTCAAACCCATTTAGAAATTAAACCTTTTCCTTGCTTATTTCTGATGTCTATATATTAAATTATCACCTGCTTTTGACACACATTTTGCTCAACTAACGTTTTAAATGATTTTATTCATACTTTGTACAGATAAAATGATTTAATTATGTGGCAAGAAGCATCAGTAATCACTAGTTGTCTAAAGACAGTCCTTGTATGGTGAAGATGCAAGGCAAAATGAATCTGTGTGTCCCCTTCAGGAGATCTGAACAGGTAGGTATAAACCAGTTACCAAGATTCTCTAACAGCAGGAAGTCTGACTGAAAAGATGAGGTTTAAAAAAATGTTTCTTGAGTACTTATACTTAGGCACCACCTTAAGTGTTTTCCATGTTATTAGCTCACTTAGCAAGCCCCCTCCCGGCAAAATGTCAAATAGCCTTCATGAACTCCAGAATGATAGAAATTGCTCTTTCATTCAAGACATACTGAGAAGGGCTGAGGCATGGCTCAGCAGTTAAGAGCACTCACTGCTCTCACAGAAGACCAGAGTTCAGTTTCCAAAACCCACACAGTGGTTCAAGAGATCTGATGCACTCTTCTGGCCTTGGAGGCACTGCATACACGTGGTGCAATTACACACATACACACAAAACAGTCATATACATAAAAATAAACCTTTTTGTTAAAGTAGAAAAAAAACAGACGAGAAAAATGTTAAATCCTATGTATTCAATATGTTACAGAAATTTTGTTATAACAAATTTATTATTTTATTGTTTATAATAAATAAATATATTAGTATTGACTATACACATGTACCAGGACTGTGCTGAGGGACTAAGAATATACAGTGATAAAAGGTTTATTGAAGGTAACTTAATGCAATATTTTCAAATGCTGATATAGCTATACCACTTATCACTTGGGAGATGATCTAAATTTCAACTACTGTCTTTATAAATTCTGACTCAGTAGATATGAGGCAGAGATATTATTATTATTTTTATTCTGAAGAAAAATGTATTTATTTGGGAGTCACTGACTAATTTTTGTTGCTGCTAATGGCAAAGATTCTTAAAACAAACAAAGAAAAAAGGTATTATGTTCTGTGTAAAGTCTTAATTATTTTAAAAACACACCCTTTCCTAATTCCCTATTTGTCTCTTTAACTGTTTGCTACACAATTCTCAGCCACTCCAAACAGTTTCTGAAAAGTACCACATCTCATCCCTTTGAGCTTGCTCACTCTATCCTCTGCCTGGATCCCCCTCCCAACACATGACTGAGGGAATTTATGTGAGAAACTTTTAAGACTCAATTCAAACATTTTGTTTGTTTGTTTCTAGTTTAGTATTTTTCCAAACTGCTCCTCTTCTAGTTATACAGCTATCTTCATTCATAATCTTCACAACTCTCAAACTTCTTCCAGAAGAAGTATGCTTGCTCTCTGCACAAATGGGCACAAATCTGACTTTGATTTCAAGCAAGGAACTAACTGCCTCTTCAACATTCCTTTTAAATATTTCCAATGTTATGCTCTGTCGGTGCTCCTACGATCCTACAGTTTTGTTTGTGACAGGGTTCCCTGTAGCCCGGGCTGGCCCCGAACTACTGACCCTTTAGCTTCCATCTCCTTAGTGCTGGGATGATGAGCATATGCCACCACGCCTGGAAGTCCAGTGCAACTAAGTCAGTACTAGGGACAAAGCGTTTTCACTGGGATTTACTGTGACTCGAGGTGTAAGCACCTGAAATGTAAGGGTGCATATTAGACGGAGGGTACCAACCTTAAAGTCTTTCCTTTCCTTTTCTGCTTGCTTTGTCTTTTTTTCCTACAACAGTTACCAGAACAATTCTTTTAACAGGAAAGTCATAAATTCATTTGCTTAAAATTGTTTGTCCCTTAATCCAAGTCAAAGCCAAAGTCTCTACAGCAGCCCCTGTGTGCCCCATGATTTGTTCCACCACTTGATTTTACCTACCTTAGCTCTGCCCTTCCTTACTCTGCCTTTTCTCTTTTCTTTTGAGACAGGTTCTCGCCTTGGTTGTCCTAGAACTCGCTCTGTAGACCAGGCTGACTTCCAACTCAGAGATCCACCTGCCTCTGCCTCCCACATGCTGGAATTATGGCATGCGCCACCACGCTGGCCACTCTGCTCTTAACTTCAGCGGTTCCTTGCTGTTCTTTACGTTCAGACACATTCCCTCTAGGACATTCTCACTAGTTGTTCTGGAGCACAGCTCCCCAGTACCAAACAAGGTTTGCCTTGCACTTTTTTCACGTTTCACTGAGATGAGACTCCCTAACAACTGCATCCATCCTGATCCTCTTGCCCTGTTCTATTTTCCCAGAAGTACTTAATCACCTATACATGTAAATCAATATAATGTTCATATTATTTATTTTCTACTCCACAAACCCATACTCACACTCAAGTGTAATTACTCTTACAAAGGTAGGGATTTTTATCTGTTCTGTTTAACTTATACATTCCAAATACTTAGAACAATTCTTGACTCATAAAATATATTTGATAACTGATGGACAAATACATAAATTATTAAGTTGTTATCTTTCCTTTCTTTTGAGACAGGGTCTTGTTTTGTATCCCTGGCTGGCCTTAAACCTGCCTCTGCCTCCTGAATAGCCAAAATTATAAACATGTGTCATCACATCTGGCTTAACTGAAATTTTATTGCTTGGCTGAAAGATACATATGTATGTATATGATTACCAGAATAAACAGAACAATGGCTAATCATGACAGCTAATTTTACATGTAAGTTAATCATTTACCTAGCAGAGTTCCAGCACACGAAAGAAATAACTAAATGTTCAGCAACCAAATCATGAAATAAATGTGAACAAAGGCAAATCCAGACATTAGCCAAGTCCAACAGCAAGCAAATGCCCTCCTAAACATAAACACAAACAGACAGCAATCTTATCAAAAAAGAAGTTTACAGGCAAAGGAGAGAGCTGAGATACTCAAGCAGTGTGCTGAAAGAGAGCCAATGCTAAAGAAGTTTTCCGGCTTATTGTTTCCACAATGTGAATTTTGTTTCCTTTTCTTGCGACAAGGTCCTGCTGTGTTGACCAGGCTGGCTTCAAACTCTTGGACCTTCTGCCTCAGCTCTCCAAGTGCCGGATTACACACAGAATGCCTTTCACTATTTTGTCCTGAGCTAATGTGGTCACAAAAATGTACAAATTACACTGTTAAACTATGGAATCAACCTGTGTGTGTGTGTGTGTGTGTGTGTGTGTGTGTGTGTGTGTGTGTGTGTTGAATGCACACATGAGAAGGCCAGAGGACAAGGCTGGTGTCTTCATCTATCACTCTTCTGAGACTGCCTCTTACTGATCTGGGGAGATCTCCTTACCCCTCACAGTGCTGGGATTACAGGCACATGCAGCCATACCAGGCTTTTGAACTGAGATCCTCATGCTTGCACAGTGTTGTCACTTACTAAGCCTGGCCCAAAAATTTGTATTATCTTATAAATATATCTAAACCCAGCCAGACACATGATTGGATTTTATTTTTCTATTATCTTTTCCCAAAAGTGTTGTTAGTGTTCAATAAATTGATTCCTCATCATGTTTTCACTAAATATGTATTTTATATTTGTTTTTAAGAGAAATTTTATTATTAACAGATTCTTTTAATTTGTTAATAAAACTAGAGTGTCTAAACCTGATAACATTTAGCAAAAAAGAAATGACAAACAGGGAAACGTACAAATTAGTCTTGGCACTATAAAATATCTCCTAAATTCTAATCAATAAACTTAAAAATGAAACTTCAGCTGGGCATGATGGTACACACCTTTACTACACACTCTCAGGGCAGAGGCAGGTGGATCTTTGGGAGTTTGAGGCACTGTAAGTGCCAGCTCAGCTAAAGGTACACAGTAAGACTGTCTCAAAAACAGATCGGGGGTGGGGGTGGGTGGAACGGGGGGGGGCAGGAAGTGCGTGCTGGCTGAGTTTATTCTCCTCCTTCAGCATCACAAAGTAAAAAGAAGTAAAGGAGGCTAGAGAGATGGCTGAGCAGGTAAGAGCTGTAATTCAGAGGACAAGAGATCCTACCCTACACAATGTCTAGCTCCAGAGGATCAGAAGCCTCTGGCTTCCAAGGGTACTTGCATTCACATGCAGATACCCACATGCAGACAGACAGACAGACACACAAAATTAAAACTAATAAAAATCTTGAGAAGGAAAAGAGTGAAACACAATAGAATACTTCTCTAGTTGCATGAAGGCTAAGGCAGAAGAATCACTTGAGTCCAAAGTTGGAAAGTCAGCCAGGAGACATAGTGAGACCCTTTCTGAAAAACACAAAGTAGCAACTTAACCTTTTACATCTTTCCAAATAGACTAGAAACTTAGTAATCTAATTTTAAGATCTTGAAAATCCTGTATTATTTGAAATTAAGCTCATCAGACCTATTTGAATAAAGAAAAAATAGATAGTTATATATGTCAAAGGTCAATCACTGACCAGATTTCCTGTATAGGACACTGAGGAGTAAGGTCCAGAAATCTTTTAGAAGAATTCTTTCAAGGGATTGTGATGCACGTTAAAATTTGATGTCTTGGGCCAGTGAGATGGCTCAGTGGTTAAGAGCACTGGTTACTTTTGCAGAGGGCCTGGAGTTCAATTCCCAATACCTCACAAGGCAGCTAACCATCTGTAACTCTAGTTTCAGGGGATCCAATATCTTCTTCTAGCTTCCATGAGCAATGCACACATGTGCTGCACAGGCATATATACAGACAAAATTCCCATATATATAAAAAAAAAATCTTTCAAAAAAATCTGCAATCTTTCACATTATAATAAAAACTGCACACACATTTTCTGTGTATTTAGCAAAATACCTTATAGTATACCAGGGATCAAAGATTTGTTGAGTGATTCAATAACTATGGATCAAGAGGCATTTCGTGTTATTATTTAGTAATAATCTAAAAACAAAAATAATCTAACAAATCAAATTTCAACAGGCATAAAACTAAACAGGCAATTATTAACTAGATAAGATAGAAACTAGCAGAGAACCAGTTTTATAATAAATTTAAACAAATATATACCAGTAATTTTTGAAAAAAAAATGACAAAAATATTTTTTTTACTATGGCAACTAAATATACTATAAAATACTATGTAGTGTGAGATTTAATTGCTGGAAATACACTACAAAAATACTCAAGGACAAAAACAGTAAAAATGTCTGTGTATTTAATAAAATATAAAATAACAC